GCACATCTGCGGGAGGTCTGCCGGTCCCGAAGCTTCGGCAGCAATTTGGCGGTGGGGACGCCAATGACACGGCACCAGCGGCCCTCCCGCAGGCATGCCGCCGAATCGGCATGACCAGCGGACCACCCGCAGGCGCGCCGCCAAAAGCCGCCTGCCTGCCATGCTTGGGGCGGCAAAAAACATAGAGCCGCCCCTGATGGGAGGTTTACAAAAGGAGGCTGGAGCGCCATCTGTCTTGGATGGTTTAGACATGACCAATCCTGCCTAATGGCAGGGAATAGCCTAGATGATCCTTATAGTCCCTTCTAACCCTATAGGTTCTAGGACTCTAGTGCATCCATGCTAGAACTTGACATTTGGCCTTCGTGTCAGGGCTGTGCCTTTTGTTCCTGTGAATCAATAACGGGTGTTGGGAACCAAGGGGGTGCACGGGTGGCAGAAAATGGGGGAGTGGGAGTATGGGGGGAAATATGAGCAAGTTGGGGAGGCAGGCGCCTCAGAGGGTGGATAGAAACAGAAAGGGAACATGGGCAGGAGCAGAGGGAAGGGGAGAGAGGCAGGAGCCATGGGGTGGGGGGGGCAAGGACAGGAGCAGGGGAACAGTGGCACAGGAGTTGGGCAGGGAGGCAGCGGTCTAACAAACCCAGTGTAGACAAAACCTAAGATTGCTTGTTTGATTTAATTTATTTCCTTTGTAGGCTCATTATTGAGAGAGAGAGAGAAATAATCTAGGTTTCAGAGTAGCAGCCGTGTTAGTCTGTATCCGCAAAAAGAAGAACAGGAGTACTTGTGGCACCTTAGAGACTAACAAATTTATTAGAGCATAAGCTTTCGTGGACTACAGCTCTCTGTATGTGTGTGTATATATATCTCCTCAATATATGTTCCATTCTATATGCATCCGAAGAAGTGGGATTTGGAGTCAGGTTTTGGCAGGTTGGTGTGTGTTTGTGGTTTGTTTTGTTTGTTTGTTGTTTCGTTGGGGACAGTAATGGTATGTACATGTTGCACTGCCATCTAGGGACAGAAGAAAGCAAATGCACCTAAACAAAGTCTTGCTTCAAATAAAATTTTTTATTCAAGACAATCAGCTTTTCTCATGTGCTTCCTCATAGGAGGCTTATCTGATGGCAGTAGAAGGAGGCCTGCTTTTTTAAGACACTTAGGAGGCTGTTTTGTAAGGAAACACTTACAGCATGTTTAAAAATAAATAAATTGCAAAGGCCTTTATAAATTGGCTGTACTGTGAAATATACTATGTTGTATTACTGTCCAGTGCACACACAGGTGCACAGACACCCCCTAACTGAACAGACTGTGTTCTCCCCAAAACTAGAGATTAGGACTATAGGATTAACACTCACATCATCTCTCTAGTGGCTTGATCCAGCAAGGCAGCTGACCGTGTACTTACATTTAAGCATGTGAGCAGTCCCAAAATTGCTATGCTGAATTGGAGTCTTAGTATACTTACTTC